CTATCCTCTTATTACGTAGAGTTTTCTGCTCTAGAATAAACCTGAGGAGCTGGGGAGAAAATCTGAAACATGGGGGAGCGCAGCTCCAGCATACTGAAAGTGGGGAAACTGAGTGCAAATCTGCATACTGATAGGGATAAGAAACTTACCTTATGCATTGTTAATGATATTTTACATTATTACATGTCATCTAAGAGCATTAAAGCATAATTGATATTCAACTATGCAAATAAAATACTAAAGTAATATTATTTGAATTTATAAAATGTACAGCCCCGAGAACTCTAGTTACTGACGGTTGCCTTTGATTTTTCTGAATTTTTAGACTTGCATTAGTGTTCACCTTCTAGTGACTGCAGATTTAGACGACTAGAAAAATAACTTTCTTTTTTTTTTTCTTTAGGGTGTTATCAGAGTGCCTGCTCCCTGCCAGTATGCCCATAAATTGGCTTTCCTCGTAGGTCAGAGCATTCACCGAGAACCCAATCTGTCACTGTCGGACCGTTTGTATTACCTGTGAACTACATGTACTAAGTACAGTACTAGCAATGCAATTGCAACTTCCCCTGGTACTAGTTTCTTTTTAGGAAAGCTGTAATTTTTCTACTATTTTGTTGAGAAAATGGGAGGCATGTGTGGGGTAAATACATACTACTTTTGTATAAGGGTAGAGCTTGATTTTCATTATAAGGTAACTATGATAACATAAGGTAATTCTGTCCAGTAAGCTTAAACTGCCTATACAGCTGTACAGAGCAGAAATGAGTCTCTTGCTGCCTGCTGAAAAGCATTTTAAGGTGTAAAGCAAAACAAACCTCTCCAGTTTCTACCCTAAACAAGTTCCTAAAACTAGACATAAGGGACACTTTTACACGAGCCCTGGGGCTGGAATGGGGGGGAGGCGGGGCGATGCTTTAATTACAGCAGCTCAGAGAGCTGCTCTACTTAAAGCACCGCTGTGTCTTCTGCATCACCATCCCAGCACTTAAAAATGGCAGTGGGGGCGCTTGAACAAGGTTTTGGTTCAAGTGCCCCCACCGCCACTTTTAAGAGCAGGAGCGCTGATACACAAGACGCAGGAGGCTGCTGGAATTGCAGTGCGTTAGAGCAGCTCCACTGCTTGTGTACAGGTGCCCAGGCATACTAGCTAGTGAAATTGGGGCATGCTGTCGACCCTGGATTTTTTGCGTGTCAGCTGTCTCCTGAAAACGGAGGCAAGCTGTCAAACCATTAATTAGCAACTTTTTTGGTGAGGCAGCGTCCACATGCGTTGCTGTAAGCGTGCCGAAAGGAAGCTAGTCTTGTTCTGATGCTCTTTTTTGCATATACCAACAACATAAACATACAGACTGTTTTGTGCCTTAATAGCTAGTCGGTTGTTATATCCGTTCTAATAAGGAGAAGCTGAGGTAGCCCAAGCATCATGAAATGCAATACAGTAAAAAGAGAGAGAGCTCCAAAATTCAAGGTTGAGATGCTTTCTGAGATAAACTTAGAAAATAATGATGATGATTGAGCTTGAAGCTGGTACATTTGCAGCTATGAGCAGTTCTCTTTTTTTTTTTTTTTTTTTTTGACCACACAATTTAAAGCGGTTACACTTCAGCTGAGGGATGGCGGGGGGGGGTCTGTTCCTAGTTAGTTTGGCCAAGTGTTTAGGTAGACTGGGGCTGTCCCACTTCTAAGCCCCCACGTTAACCCCTCACAAACATGCTGTCTGCGGGCGACCAGTTGGACAACTGAGGTAGACTATTTGGATTGCGCTGAAGGGCTTGCTGCAGAATTGATTACTTTTGGGTGTTGGGCCAGTCTGCTTTCAGGTCCCATGTTAGGGCTTTAACCAATTCTGATCAACATGATCAGTTTTCTACTTGTGTAGATCCAGAGGATTCTGGTTTTTATCTCTGTGGGTTTGGGGTTTAGCTGCCTTTGGATTATTATTAAATATTCTGTTGGAAAGTATTTTTGCTTACATCCGCAAGCTCATTGTAGTACCTGAAAAAACCCTAACTCTTAGTTGTGAAAGTTGTTTCTTTTTTCTTGACAGATTTCAGTAAAGTTCTATGTCTAAAATATTGCAGTTTGATCCTATTACTTTATATACAAACATAGATTTAACTGTAAAAGAGGTCCTTTTAGGCATCTTTTATGTGAAGGAACTGCTCCAAAGTGCATCTCCAACTACAGCTCCCACTCTGAACAGCCCTTGCAATATGGTTACTTCACTTAAGCAACTTTTTGGTCTTCTAACTTGTTTAACGTGTTGCCGTTCCAGAAAACAGCTGAAAAAGGAAATTATTCTTTGCTCAGAATCTACTTCACATTTAGTCATAGCTGCTTCCTTTACCAAAACTTACTGCTACTGTAAGCTTTTTTCAATAACAATATACAAAAGCAAACTCACACATTCAATTACTCCTTGGTGTAACAGAGCTGAAATTCAGCTTCAGCTCTATTTTGTCAGAATCTTGCAGTTCTGTGAAGTTAAATATGAAGTTAAGTGAAGCAAAAACAATTTTAAATATTGAGCATACATGACTGGCAGGGGTGTTTGGGGTGCCTTTTATTTAACATACATTTGAAACCATATAAATGCCGCTTTGTATACAGTACATAGAGGTTTGATACTTACTTGGAGCAGTACAGTTTATCTAGAATTACAGTAAAGCTCCTGACATGCCCACATCGCTGTTGTAGACAACACCCTTGTGTTCCCTTTTATTGTACACATCCTGAATTACTCATCCTACCCTTTTTGCGTGGATCTGACACATGGGTGATCTGTCTAAACATAAGTTTTAGGACAAGTGAGAAGTTGTTGCTTTTCTCTTATTTACCAGCCTCTGCTCCTTAATGTCATACAGAGAAAGCTACAAGCCACCTGTTCTCAACAGCCACTGAATAAACTAGAAAGTTTGAAAATAATTTATTATTTTAAAGGTTGTATTGGGAGTATTTCACACCAAATACAACATTTTAAGTTCCTTTAACTTAGAATTTAAGCATACGTTTTCTGTATTTTTAGGGTTATTTCAGTTTTGGTAGGAGGTGTTCTGCATTCATCATTTAAATATTTATGTCTGCATAAGACCATGCTACCAAGCAAATTGCCTTAAGCAAACGTTATAGTTGTTGCCATGATGCAAGCAGGAATCGATGCATATTAAGAGTTTTTGAATGTACAATGGGAATAGTGGTAGGAAAGTCCATTTTGAACCCTCTAGAATCACCTGTAGAGGTTGAGGTGCATAATACAATCTAGTTGGATATTTTCTCTCCAACTCTTATCCTGAGTCTTTGTACCTGTGGAGAGGTGCTCAGAGGAGTTTTACAAGAAGTGTACAGTGGCTTATTCTGTGTTCTCCGTGTAGTCTCATGTTCTTCACTTGAGGATATCACGGACAGAGCAGATCCAACCACTGTTCATTTTTTTTTTTTCTGAACCCTGCTTTGGCAGACTTTTGACACAATCTCACTATTTTCTGTTATCGCAGGGAGGAACTTTGATCCAAGTCATTCATTCAGCACGCATCTCCTATCACCAGTAGCTAAAAGGCAGCAAAACAGAGGAAAGTTAGCACTGTAAAAATGTTGGTTCTTTAGCTTCCTACATCTAGATTGGCTTTAAATACAGTATTTTGAGGGAAGAGAAGGTGCATGTTATACAAGAGAATCAGGCCCCCCAAATTAACATGCATGTACTAAGGGCTTCAAAAGGAGGCTTGACAATCACGTGGCTGGGGTCATCTGACCTTGGTCCTCTTTCTGGGCAGGGGCTCGGATGATGATCCACTGGATCCCTTCCGACTCTATAATCTATGAATCTATAAGCAGGGAAACTAGGTTCCTGGCTGGAAAGGCAGCCCTCCAGGAGCCACTGTATCCTATACAGCTGCCAAGATAGCTGCCACTTGTCTGACTTAGGGTTAACACTACTCCACCCCTTCAACTTCCTTTCACAGCTATAGCTATTGGCTGAGCTCTGTAGCTTGTGCCCAGAGCAGCAGGTGAGCTTCTGGATTGCATCTTGGTGAGGTTTGTGATGCAGAAACATTTTACTGGCAGGAGCTACTTGCAGTGAAGAACTGCCTTGCCAGGGCTGGCAGGGGGCCTAACCTTGTGAGACATAAAGCAAGTCTTCCTGGAACATAACTGTATCAAAGAAGTGTGGCACCCCGGGATGTTCAATTTCGCCGATTTTAACAAAAGGCGGTGTTTGCAAAATAAAATAATGAATATTGTCCGTGGGACAATGCTGACTTACTGATAAGCTTTCGTGGATTTTGGCAGGTGGGTTTAAATTCGTCTTTGAAGGCCAGCTGGTTCTGAACACGTCCTTGCAGGCAAACACTACCAGACTCGCATGCGAAATTCACATGCTGGATGAGTGTACACACCCTCTTAGAAGGAAAAAAATAACGCAAGATTGCTCTACACCAGTGTTTCTCAACCCGTGGGCTGCGACCCAAAAGTGGGTTGCAACAATATATGAAAGGGTTGTGAAGAAACTTTAAAAATGGATTCTCCTTTTAAAAGAGAAAAATGGGGGAAACTGGACTTTTTCCCTGCAGCGTTCCAGCCTACAAGGGGCTGCTTGGGGCCACCCTCCTGCTCCACATGCTGGGGGCGCAGGGGGGCACTGGGTCAGGACTGATTATGTTAACAAATGGGTTCTGGTACACAAAGTGCAGTGAACTTGTACTATCAATAACAAGAGAAACCTAGGAAAGATCCATTTAAGGGCAGTGTGCTATGGGATGTTTAAGTACCTTGCTATTACAGCAGCCACACAAAGATTTCACTAATTAAAAGCAGGGAGCCAGGAGATGACTAACCACCCACTGCATTGGTACATCTAAATTCTGAGTTGCAGCTGGCTGGAAGTGACAGCAGTTGAACTTTACTTGGAAATAATATGGAGCAATCAGCAAACTATGTTCCTTTTTAATATCGGACTATATCCTGCTTCTAATTGTAATTACTCATCCTACATACATATGTATGCATGTATGTACGTGCATACATACGTGTGTGTTGAGAAATAGCAATTAGGAGTTTAGTAATATATATATATATGGGGGGAGAAGATTTAAAAAATGGACAAAGCAAGCTGCATTTTACAAAATATCAAATTTATTTTTTTATATAAAATATTTTACACATGAACAACTGTACACATGCACACACCCACACAATACTTTACCACAAATTTAGGCCAGTAATTTTTTTTTTTTTTAATTTCATAAATCTAGCACACAATAGTATCTTACAATAATTTACATAATTCTTTGAAGACACAATGGGGAAAGCTTTGATCATTCATTTATAAACCTTCCATAAATTACAAAAGAAAGGCAGTCTGAAAAGTATGTATAAACAGTAAAAACAATTTACAAATGGACAAGAATTACAAAATAGTAACAGCCAATGTTACTGCCAGTAACTTGTAAGATGGCTTAAATCAAGAAACGCCAATATTGAAGTTAGTGTTTTGAGATATTTCTAATCAATTGTTAGAGCTTTTTAACTGGCTACAGTTTTGTGTATGTAACACAGCTTTTCACTGCTGAGCCTAATACATGCATTTCATCCTGATCCTGACATCAGTAAGATGAAAAACGATTTTTTTTTTAAACTGAAAACTGCACTTCCACAAACAAGACCACATGGGGGACAAAGATTATTTTTATTTTCTGGCAGTTTACTGAAACTTTTACACTAGTCATGCCAGGAGCTCTAAAACATTTTGAATGATTAAAACTGTGTGCATTTTCTGAGTACTTTTATGCAGTATCTGGCTTTTGTACACTGAATATGGAGACTAAAGGAACTTATACAAATATTTTAAAAATGCATCTTGCACAACATTTTCAGACTCCCAGGAGTTACATCAGACATTAAATGGAGTCAGCAACACATTACGTGATCTTGAATTACCATGTCTCAGAGGATGAAGACAGTTGAATACACAGTACATACAAAGTATACGCTGTATATTTAGTCGACAGTACAAATCATTGTGCATTAATAAGGCAAACATCAAGGCGGATTAAACTAGGAGTTTCAAGACCATTTTAAAAAGATAAATACTGGGTATTGTGGGGTGATCTCTTTGAATAAGGATTAGAGGATTTTCTTTTTTCCCCCCATTCTTATGATCAAAGAAGAATCAATGCAGAGATTTATCCAATGGAGTTATAGGTGTGGAGTTGACTTCAAATAAAAAGATGTTATCCTTCTGTTCTTAATTCCCCAAAATCTGTCCCTTTTTTTGACGAAAAAAGCACATTGGCAACATTTTGAGCTTTAGTAGCAACAAATCCACTTCCTTTTTTTTTCTTGCTGTTTGATTAAGCAATTCACATGATTCTACTGATGTCAGAAAGGGTTAAAAAATACAAAGGTTCTGTAAAGATGTACTGCATAGTCATGAAAGCCCTAGTTTTGAAGTTAAAAAAAAAATACATAGACTGGAAGCTTTACAAGTTGTCCAGAAGTACATGAATCATTTCACTGCACCCAGCTTTTTCAGCAGTTTCTTGCCTTTGGAAAGCAGCCCCTTTTTCTTTTTCGAGGCTATTTCCCTGCCTCTCCCGGGGCTACCAGAACCCATAGATGACGGAGGTGACCCAGAATGGAGATGGACTGTGGGGGATGGTGCTCTCCTTGATGTACCTGTATTCTCAGGAGGAACCTATTAGGTATATTGTTATAGTTTATTGAATAGTTGAAAGCTATTCATCAGCAAGAAAGTTGGTAACATCACTTTTTGTCCCAATACCCACTTAAAAAAAAGGTCTGCTTGATTTGTTCCTTCAGTAGTTTAATATGCCATCCAGAAATAATGGAAAATACATAAGTACAGCTTCCCACACATGCAATTGTGAGAAAAGGTGTAGACATTAGAAAATACACGTTTGACTGGGACTTAAATTAATTACACGTTTTTGTTTTTGTTTTTCAAACAATGATCTGGGGGACTGCCATTTTACTATCGTTCTGGCAAAAATCACAAAAGTTTTGTATGTCAGTACTCAAGATGACGGTGAGTACAAGAATGACGAGACACTTGTAGCTATGGAATTTAAACAGTGGGTTAAGTACTATAAATCAGCAATCTATATAAGCCAAACAGTTCCAGAAGATATGTGCAAACTATATATGATCACCTATTTTTTTTATGTCCTTTAAATGCCTTTTCTTTAAAGTTGGGTAACCTACTGTATATACATATTTAAGATGGCACACTGGTTGAAAGAAAAAAAAAGCTAAAATGAACCTTAATTGCAATCAAAGAAAGCTTAAAGACCCTGATTGCTTGGCGTGTGTGCTGCAGCTATATGATTGCCAGGTGAAGATGAACACTTGTACAATACTTAGAATATGACAGCATTCCTAAATATTTTAAACAGAGCTATTTTAATCATCAAAAGCACTTCAATGAAAATGCTACAACTATTTATACTCAATCTATTGCAACTACTTTTCCCCGCTAACAAAATGTGGTACTGTATGCTGTTTTTGTAGTAGAAATCATGCCTCAGGGACACCTAATATCTTGAATTCCCATTAAGATGTTAACATGTTAGCGATTTGCTGTCTTGTACAACAGTGAATTAAGCAAAAGGGCTTCAAGCCTACTTTGATTTTAAATCAAGGTCTAATTCTAATGAAAAACAACTTGGTAAAGCACCCCAACGTACACCTGAAGATACCATATATTTAGTCTAATGCATTCCTTAGGTGAGCTGCAATGTTTCATATTGACACTTATTGCATTGGTAAACCAAGCTACTACTAGAGTGTTTCACAAATGTTTGCACTGTCTCTGGATAAAACTAGCATATGCAGGGGTGCATGGTTTCAGAATTCTTGAAGTCATAGGCAAACTGGGGTATAATCGATCGTGGAAAACACATTTTTTAAGGCAGAAAGTTTGAGGTTAATGAGTTTCAGAACCAACTATACCCTTGTAAACTACAATACTGATCTGCTTACAACTCACTTGCTCATTCTTTAAGGGTGGTGGGTTTTGTGCTTTTTTTTCTTTATCTACAGACTTTGAATTTGGATATCCCAGATTGGCTAACAATGCAATATGCAGCTTCCGTTCGTAGCGTAATTGGACACTAAACTCCTCTTTCAATGTAAACAGAAACATTTAGCTCATGAAGAAATATGTTCCAAATGTTGACCTTCATAAAGTGAACCCTAATTAGAAGGAAACCCTTGGTTATAATTTCAAAGGATTTCTTTGTCTCTTGGAAGTAAGCTAATTTTCAAATACACACAGTAAGTGCCTGTATTCTGTTACATTAGGGCCAATGATTTTGGAGACATATTTCTTTTTTCCACAGTTAAGTTTCAAGACTGTTGCATTAGATACTGTCAGGTAGCTTTAATTGATATCTTTATTGGTATCTTCAGTTGCTCACTTACGTGAAGGCTACATTGCCTTATTAAGGTGTGAAATGAACACTCTTCTTCTGTTTCCAAGCAGATGAGCAAAGAAATAAAAATATATATAAAAATATATAATATATAAAAATATTGCAGTGATGAAACAAACCAAAAATGATTCACTCTAAATATGAATAATATTTCATAAAGGATAAGATTTGGGCAGCTAACTCATGTTGGGAAGACAAATCTTAAAAAAGGTTAAAGGAAATTATTGTTAATCAGCTATTTACATTTCATATTTGAGTAAATGTTTGTCCCGCTCCTTCCCCATCCCCTACTGCTTGTGTTTTCACCTAGGTATTGTGTATAGTATGTAGAGTTTGAAGTTTGAGACTGAGCACTTTCACTAGAAATAGCTGAAGAAATTAAAGTTACAATTAAATGATTCTGGTGAATGATTTTTTTTTTTTAATTTAGGTCTGTAATTTCTAAGTGTTTATGGCAGACTAGTGGAAGGATAAGTGAACTCTTTCCATAATTTAAAATTAAGATGACCTAAAATGGAGAAATGAGTTTTAAAATGTGAAAAAATAAAATCGAAACAAAATAAGAGATGATACTGTATGGAAAAATTGAAAAGATTATTTCTTTTTAATGCAATTGCTTACCCTTTTTGCTTTTGTACGCATTGGTGTATCTTGAGTGTATCGTGATGGTGCATCAGAAAGATAGACTTCTACATCATCAGGCACTTCTTCAAGAAAGTTTGAAGGAACCAGCCCCTTCTGTCCATTCAGTTCACCCTATGGCATAGTAAAAATTGAACTGGTTTATGCTTTTAAATAAATCAATGCACAAATCTTCTGAAGTAGGGAAACATTACTTTTCTCAATTAAAAATGAGGAAGTGAGGTAGAGACACTGTACTTTGTCCAAGATCACATGAGAAATCTGACTCAAGCCAGCACAGAGTTCAGATTTTCTGGTTCCCCAAGTCTGCTTCAGCAGCAAAGGTTATCCATAGTAGGCATTTTATATAGATCATATTAATACTACAACCTGTTATACATCAGGTACCTATCATTCAAGTGCCATCTGTGGGCATGATGTGTTCATGGAATCATAGAAGATTAGGGTTGGAAGGGACCTCAGGGGGTCACATCTAGTCCAACCCCTGCTCCAAGCAGGACCAGCCCCAACTAGATCATCCCAGCCAAGGCTTTGTCTAGCTGGGTCATGAAAACCTCCAAGGATGGAGATTACACCACCTCTCAGTTTAGGTTAGTCCATGCATTCACTTCCTGGTGAATATATGGGATGTACATAATTAAAATGGAACCACTTCATTAGCAGTTTGGCATGGGAGTCCAAACCAGTTGCCCCACATAATTCTTCTGACTTGAATAGGTCCCTAAACCATTCCTATCTCCAGGAGATTGTTCCAGGCTGTGAAAGCCAAGTGGAGGCCATGCCAAGCGCAGCCCAGAATTAGGTGCTCAAACCTGGGAAAGAGCTAGAACTGAATGCACTCTTTTCTCATTACTTCCTTTTGGGTGTGTTAGGGGATCCCCTGCTCAGTTTGCTGGCTGTTGTGAATCCTACTCCGAGGCACCTAACCTAGCGAAAGGTTCCACTTCGGAGCCCTCTTGGCTAAGCCCCTACCTACCTTGTGAGCCATAAGGCATTATCTTCCACTTACCTTGCCTGCAGGGCCTGAGATATTGGAGCACAACACTGATCGGGCCTCCAAAACCAGAGTGGTATGATATTAGAGTTCCCTTTTTACTCTGCAACTTAGTGCAAGAATATGGGAGATGTGCTTAAAGAAATGTGGACCTGCGTCTTCCCCCATCTCCGGTGACTGCTGTAGTCACCAGTAGTTGGGATCTCAGAAAAGGTGTTTAGTCTACTGGGTCTAATGAAGACTAATTCAATTGGCTACTGGGCTACACAGCTTGGATCTCCAGCCCCATGCTCGCACGCTCCTGCTCCACAATGCTTGGCCAGTCACTTGGCTCCTATGAGCCTTAGCTGCTTTCTGACTTTAGCTGACGACTGTCAGGTTGTCTCCTGGTCCCAACTGTTGGGTCTAAACAATGGGATGGACTGCCTGCCCCTGCCAGCCCATTAAAGTCTGTTAGTCTGGGACAGGTTTCTCTTTGGGATGATAAAAGGTTGTATTGGGCCAAGGGGCAGGGGAGAGAGTAAGGACAATTATATAGGTCTGCTATGTGGTTACCCATCTGGAAGGTGTTATATTTATATACATACATACATACACACACACATATATATATATAATCCAGGGACTGTTTCATTATGTTAAATTAGCCATGAGGGCAGGGACTGGGGCTTACTTCTCTTCCCTCCTGGGTGCCCCAGCCGCTAGGTATTTGCCTTATTCATTCAGTCAAATGTCCGACATGTTGAATGCGGGTATCACGTATCCTGGGGGAGCGCTCAGTTTTTAGATAAAGATTTGAGGACATCACCACTTTTTCCTTCTGCCATGGTGAGGAAAGGCTGGTGTAGGCTTGTAACTCCCAGAGGAAAATCAGGGTTGTGGTTCCTGATGGGTAAGGTACCTATTTAGCTTCTCTTCACTTTGCTATTGGCTACCTTAGGTTGCTCCTCCCTCAGCATGAATAGATACTGTGGGTCCCATCCTTGGGTATTTTACCTCTCCCCATACAACGTACGTGGGCCTTAAGCCCCTAACTCAGGGCTGCAGGTTCCTCTAGGCTGCAGGATGCCTAAAATTCAAGCATTGCGACACCAAGTACATTATGCTGCCTCCATGGTCTTGCAGGCATAACCTGGGTTCTTGCGTTCCCAAGATCCAGGAAAGCAAACCCTTTTCAACAAGTTGGGAGTAGATAATTTTAGCCTCTGAACTGCTCACCAGCCCTGACCACGTAGGGTTATTTCCCCACCCACTCCTCAACTCCCCCCACAAAGCTCCTTTGCTCAGACAAGTGATCTCTATAAATTGAGGATCTTAAGGGGTGGGGAAAGGTTTCGCAGTTGCTCCTGTTTCATGCAGGGTCATTTTTGCCATCTGATTTAAAGTGCTTCATTAGCTGCAGACAAGGTTCCTTGGGTGAATTTGATATCTTTTATTAGACCAACCCAAATAGTTGGAGAATAGTTATTAAGCAAGCTTTCGAGTTCAAAAACCCTTCGTCAGACTAAGGAAGTTTCAGCAGTTGCTGCACCCAGCAATGCTTCCATGGACAGCTGCAGACAAGGTTCCTTGGGTGAATTTGATATCTTTTATTAGACCAACCCAAATAGTTGGAGAATAGTTATTAAGCAAGCTTTCGAGTTCAAAAACCCTTCGTCAGACTAAGGAAGTTTCAGCAGTTGGTGTGTGCTCTTCCTGGATGGAATGCTTTTACACACATTTTTTGGCACTTGCTACAAAAATGTTAGGTCTGCCCATACTGTCAGTTAAATATTAAGGTGATAAATCCTGGACAAGACAGTTTAACTCTGCATCTCTGAGGCTCTCATTGCCATCTTCCTGTGAACTCTCAGTTGAAACGTTCCTCACTTGAGCCACAGAGTTAGTCATGGGCTATGTCAGATGAACGTTTATGTGGCTGTATTCAGAACCATAGAAAATGAGGGTTGGAAGGGACCCCAGGAAGTCACATCTAGTCCAACCCCCTGCTCAAAGCAGGACCAGCCCCAACTAGATCAGCCCAGCCAAGGCTGTGTCTAGCCGGGTCTTAAAAACCTCCAAGGATGGAGATTCCACCACCTCTCTGGGTAACCTGTTCCAGTGCTTTACTACGTTCCTAGTGAGAGTGTTTTTTTCCTAATATCTAACCTAAACTTCTCTTGCTGCAACTTGAGACTGTTGCTCCTTGTTCTGTCATCTGCCACCACTAGGAACAGTCCAGCTCCATCTTTGTAACCCCCTTCAGGTAGCTGAAGGCTGCTATTAAATCCCCTCTCAATCTTCTCTCTTCTCCACACTAAATAAGCCCAGTGCCCTCAGCCTCTCTTCAGAAGTCATTTGCCCCAGCCATCTACCCATCACTTTAGCTACAGACACGCCTGGACATATCTACATCGACGAGGCATGACCAGCAGTAGGTGGTTACGTGTTATCAAGGGGCGCAGTTAATGGACTGGCACCGTAGCAAACTTTCAAGATGGAAATGTGACCTGAAAACCTTCCAGATGTTATTTTATGACTCGTCGTATGAAACCACTCTTTCAGGTACTACGTGAGATGGTAAGAAACGCTTCTAGGTGTCGTTTAAAACGATCAAATAAAAGGAAACTTACATAGTAAAATCCATCTTCATCAATTTCCCCAAATACTGTAATAATATCTCCTGTACAGAACGTTAGCTCAGCCTGTGGAAAGAGGGAAGTATGAGTGGTCATGGTGTGTTACTGTGCAGGTCAGATTTAATAAAGCCCATACCGGTTTCCTTATTTTGTAGCATTGTCTCTACCATTTTTTTTTTCTTTTACATTCAGCAGTGGAAAAGGTTCAGTGTCTTTGTGCTCTTTACCACCTGTTGCATTAATGGCAAACTGCATCCGTATTTTTTCTAAGTTAGTTATTGGACAACTGGGTGACTTGGGGTGTTGAAATTATGGGAAGAAAAGTATTCATCTGAAGAAAGCAGAAATGTCCTTTTTCTAAATGACCCCAGGAATTTCTTGACCAAGTCTGAACTAGCTCTGACTGCCACACTCTTTGTACGGAGAATCCCAGAAGGAAATCTCAAGGAGGATCGCCTTCATGGAGTGCCGACCCTGCTGTGTTTCAAGGGGTAGGTAGGAAAAGCAGGAGGCCCATGATCTGCGGCCAGTGCCCGGTGACATCTCTGCTGGAGACCTGCTACCAGGGACTCTCCCCGGTTGCAACATCCCCCCCTCCCCAGTCCCTTTACCCTCCAAGGAGAATAGTGTGTGACACCTCTAGGCACTCCCCATGCAGTAGGAGGGAGGACTGGTGTGTGGCCACCTCAGTCCTTGCACGCACTTTTTTGCAGGGAGTTCGTTTCAGGACGGCGCTGCTGAAGAGGGAGATTCACGTGCAAAACAGGACAATAAGAGGCCTTTCCATAAAAGCCTTACAGCAGGCTTGTCCAACATGCGGCCCGCCAAGCCATTTTATCTGGCCCGTGGCAGCGGGGATGCCACCGCCGCAGAGCACAGAGCCACGGTGGCGGCGCGGAGTGCGGAGCCGCGGCGGCCAGAGCCAGCCGGCAGCGAGGGGAGGGGACATCACTTCCTGATGTGATACCACTTCCTGTGACGTCTTTGAATATGGCTCGCTGGCCCACTGGGTGATAAAAAGTTCGTGATCTGGCCCCACGTTCAAGAAGGTTGGACACCCCTGCCTTACAGTCTTGGCCACTTGTCGCCTTGTCTCTCACACATTGCAGTTTTAGATGCAGAACTGAGTCCGAGACAGAAAAGGTAAACTGCTGCAGATAAAAATTCATCAGATACAAAACTTGTCTCAAATAGAGTAGGTGGAAATGTGTTATCCCATAAAAAATAAAAATCACGGACTACTTTAGGCTGTGTTGCTTTCCACAACGCTTCACAAAGCCTGCTGTCACTAGAACGATGTGTTTGGTCTCAGAAAGGTTGAGTTGATCCTGCTATTCCTAAGATGCTAAATTCTCTCAACAATGGTTGGTTAGAAAGCTAAAACGTTGATCATGTCAAGCTGGAGGAGATGCCAGGTAACGCTGAATGTAACAGGACACATGGCTGCACTGCCTGCCTCCTCGCTGATTTGAAAATGCCTGTGGACGGGCACGAGGGCAGAGGGAAGACGGTCTTAATTGCATAAGATAGATACCATTGTGAGGGGCATGGTATAGACATGGCACAAGGAGGGCTTAGAAAGCTCCACCTAGAAAAAACGGGTGCCTTTGGGATGCAAGGCCGTTTGAGGTTCGTAACCTCTGCGTTCAAAATTAATTGCTGTGCTTCAGACTACCTGTTTTTTAGTGCGAGCTGGGATGCTTCTGAAAACTAATCCATACTCTAGGAAACACTCAAGGTAGACAGGGAATAAATATTTCCACTCTCGCTCTAGCAAATGTGTATTCCCATCATCTGAAACTCATTATATTGTTTCTTTTGGTAGGTCTGTTACATACACCCATATGATTTCGTTGCATTCCTAAATCATTAGATAATGTGCTGAGTAGACCTGTGCGACTCCTGAGTGGGATGTTCAAGAGCATGTGTGAACCACTAAAACAAAACAGTTGCATTTGTTTGTGATTTAAATCAATACCTCTACATCAACGTTAGGAGAACTTTCTCGTGGGTCATAGTCATATAGTGCCACCATCCTCCTTGTCGACACCGAATGTTGCCTGCCACTCCGTCTGTTCCTTTCTGTTCCAATCACAGGGAGGAGAAGAGGAGGAAAGCTATCAAAGTTACTTTCAAAAACAGCACAACTTCTCCACCCTCCTCACCCCCTCCACCCCGCGTCCATCTCATTGTTAATTCCTCAACTCTTGTAATAAGCAACTTGGAATCTCTCTCTTGCAAACTGGACAGGAGACCAAAAGGACATCAAATCTCTTAACAAAGCCATAGGCTCCAAAATAAAATACACTTCCAAAGCAGCTCTTAACCTCTTAGCTGTTGGGTTGATCCTACTATTCCTAAGATGCTAAATTCTCTCAGCAGTGGTTGGTTAGAAAGCTAAAACGTTGATCATTTGAAGCAGACAGTGTCTTAGTTGGAAGAATGAGGTGCTACCAGGCGTTTAGACAACAGATGTTCAGAGTTTTACCCTGTTTCTCTTCATTCAGACTCTCACTATATTCTTTGCCTCTCTCCCCCTGCCTGAATTCAGTAGGATTGTTGTGCCTGGTGTTAGACTTCCCCTTCCCGTCAGGGTGTGAGGTTGAGAAATGAACATTTTCTCAACCTGCCCATGGCAAAAGTGGGTTTGGTCTCTTGTTTTGTTTTTATCAGTTCTGTAAATGGGTTTGAATATGTTCAACCCTACATGACTACAGAAACCCATTTTCCAATTTTCAATAAGTTTATAAGTTTCTTTGGCAGATGGTGGAAGGAAAGAGGTAGAACTTACAGTTTCTAGAAACCAGGTGAAATGTTTGTTGACTGACATTAAACATTTACAGGGCAGCCGGTGAAGGGCTTAGTTTTAGAACTGGATGAGAGCAGCATGAGTCTTGCAGATGATGCCGTAGCAAGAGAAACATGCTTGTTAGTTTGACTGGCAACAGGCGTTGAGGGCCGTCTGATGAGCTAGTGAACGGCAGTATGCAGTGTGATACTGGACACTTTGGGATTAGGAGCAGCTTCAAGACTACCGCTCTGGTGGGCCGGGAGAACTGTAGGATCGGGTAAGGAAGGGAAGGAAGGGATACTGCGTATTTGGAGACATGTGAAGCATGCGCTCTAGCTTTCACACACCCGTTAGCTGGTAATGAAGCATTCAGCCAGCAGAGATTGCTTGTTTTCCCTAGTGCATGGGTGCATGCTATAGACCCAGGGACCAATGAAAGGGTTTTATAGAAAGAGCAAGGAGAGGTCCAAAATGAAAGGATGGATCGTTGCAAATTCAGGACCCAGCCCCCACCCGGCAGCATGGACCAACTCCTATCCTTAATGACTGCCTTGGAGAACTGATTGCCCCCTTTGCTGGGAGACGAGAGAACGCCCATTCTTAAGCACTAAGGGCCCCTCTGCTTCCAAAGGAGATCAAAGGCATAAAAAGTAAATCTAGACAGCTCAAAGCATTTCAGCTCATTTACATCTTGAATCAAGTTATTGTTTCTTAGCACAGACCTCTTTTAGACTTTCTGGATCTGCGGTGTACAGAGCGTGTGCTCTCTTTGAAACGGTCACAGTTGACTTCAGGAAAGGAATGCATACAAATAAAAGAAGAGGAAAAGATATGAAGCTATTCAAAGTTCTTCATTTTTAAGGATTTAATGTGGGCAAAGGATTAAGAAAATATAGTAACGTGATCCCAGCACATAAAGTGCCTGACACTAAGACTAAAGACTCGGTGACTCGCAGCATAAGGCGGGCTGGCAATTTTAGGACCCAGTCCTGCCAACAGATACACAGGGGCAGACTCCGTGCGACACGCCACGTGACAGCACAGGTCCAAGCCTGGGAATCTGTTTTGATGTTCCAGCATTATCTGTATTTAATTTAAAATTAAGCCAAACTCTTGGTAACGCTTGATCTCTAGAGTGCTGGGTGTGTTTTCTTTGAAGTGTAGCTAGATTTTTTTTTTGTATCCAGATCTAAAAGAGAAGAAATTTCATTTGCTTTGACAGTGTAAAACTATTTAAAGGTGAACTGCTAGGGGGTTGCTAGCCACGAGACCTTTCTAAAAGACTTCAGAATGAGAAAAATTATATCTAAGGATATAAATTAGGAGGATATTTTAACACAAATTATCTTTCCCATGAAAAGTCTGAGGTGCAGACTTCTTGGTTTCTCTGCTACCATGGGTAACATTATCCAGAGCATCTTACCACAAAAAAAAAAATGGTCATTGGGTCTTACAGGAATACCTTGCTGGGTAACACTCCAAGAATAGCCAAATTTTTCAAATCTTGGGGCCTAAATTAGGTGTCTAAGTCTGAAGTAAGCTGCCTCCTGTTCACAAGTGTTCAGGGCCCACAAATTTTACTGAGGTCAGTAGTTAAACATGGCTTCTTGGGTAATTTTTATCGGAAACAGCTAATTGACTCAAAGCATAGTATAAGTCCTGTATTTAGAAGTGACTGAAGGCCAGATTTACAAGTGCATCTGCTGCGTCTTTATGTGTCTAAATACATAGTGACAAGAGAAACTAACCCGCCATCAAGGGAAGTAGGCATCTAACTTAGGTCTAGCATGCCAAGGTGCTTTTGCAAATCCCATCTGGCACCTATATAATACACCTGGCACGTGGGGTACATGCAGATGTTACACTTAGATTGACCTAACTGGGGTTAGCTCGATTTAAGTGCTAAACTGTGAATACATTCAGGGAGTTGAGATCTGGCCAAAAATGGCTGGTCTGATCTAAATTAGTCCACCTAAGGAGGTGCTCTACTACGTAGATCAGGCTAATACGTACCTGATACGTAATGCTGGGGCTAGGAAAGCTCAGCCCTCACCCCAGCCACCAGGCTGATTTTCCCCATCACCCCAACCCTGACCAGGCTATGTTTAGCCCTCCAACTCCCTTAATCCCAGACAGACAACACTCCTCCCCAATCCCACCAACACCCTTCCCCAAAATCCACTAACCCTCTCGTGGACCTGCTACTCCACCTCTCCTCCCCTGCCTCTGATTCTGCCTGCCCCTTCCCCAACTTACTTAAATCATTTTTTTGGTGCAGCGCCTAGCACCGGCGAATGTATGCAGAAGTGGGAACCTGATCTATGATCCAGCGGCTTAAAGTGAGCCGCATGCTCTTAGATCGGGTCCTGGAAATGTCTGCATGTGTCCCTACACTCTTAGGAACAGCCAATGTTTCCTACTTATTTTAGGTATTTTTATAATTTTACACTAGAAGCTGAATTGTGGCCACCCATATTTGCATTTAGCCGTGATTCGTTCTCACGGTTTCTTTACGTGCCTTAAGTCCTCTAGCTCTGGCAGTCAAACTAGGGTTGTTAAACTTAGATTTCACCATTCCTAAAGAGTTAGTAATTGCTTTGTTTTCTTGAAAATGGTTAGCATGTTTTCAATCCAGCCAAACAATTTTGGATCGTTTATTTTGAAGCAACCACATTCACAGTTCACTTTTAAATAGGACTGAACCAACGTCAGCCCTTTACAATCTCTGGTTGATTATTAACACTGACATTTTAAAATTTGAGCTTGCTTTCCCTGCCCTGCAAATATACTATATACCACTACATTGTTTGTTTGTTTTTTTAAAAGACATGTATAACATCTCTTTCTGTTTTGAACCAATCATTTTAAATGTGTGGTTCAATGCTATACAGAAATGGATCTGATTGAACTGCAGGGTTTGAGGATTTTGGTATCTTTTAAAACCTTCTGAATCTGTAGGATTAACCTAGATAATGTCACGCATAACCCTTTGCCACCATCCCTTTAAATTTATGGTAAAGTAGGATAATGTAGAAGAGTAAAAAGAACAACAAACAAGTGATTCTTTTTATGTTTTCCAGCAGTGAGCATATTTATCAAGCATCTCAGCCCTGCATACTCCAAAGCAGAGGGATCTTGTTCTGTGTCTAGAAATCTTTCAGAGGATCAAAGATTTGGGAGGGAAAGAAAAGGGGAAAAGGAGGGGAAGAGGGAGAGAGAGTGCGTGGTGCTGAAAATAGGACTCTTCATTTGAGACACTGAGAGTGAAAAGAGCTTAAAACATTCTGATTTTTCTCATTTTCTTAACGAAGATACTGACACAGAATGTATCCCATAGTGTAGTAGATGGCTGTACGATTTAGATGCGTTTGCCATATATTTAAAAAAAAAAAAAAAAAAAAAAAGCCAAAGCAGGTACAGCCAAGTTAACAGTGCCAAACCAATGAAGCCACATGTATTTTCCCTTACCTATTTTCTCAACTGGTGTATTCAGAGGAAGAAATCCTTGTTTCAGAAGCTGATCCATCATCTCCTCGTCATCTGCTTGGATTTCAGAGACCATATTACATGGAATAAGGCCAATTCTTGTACAGGTTTCCCCCCGGTAGAATCCATCGGCATCTTTATCTCCATAAACCTAGTAGTAGTTAATGAATAATGATTACGGTCAGGCTATATTTGAGCCTTTGGATGAACTTAGCTCTTCAATCACAGAGTTGATCTTTGGCTACTCTGACAAAGTGACAGCACTGTTTTCTGGGCTTCTTTAGGTTAATCTAAATTGCAGCTTCAGTTGGTTATGGAAAAATCTGGTGGGTTTTTTTAGCAAAAAAGTATGATAAAAGCTTTCCCCACGTATATTCATAAGTATCACTGCTTATAAGGGTAGGTCCCATGCTCAGTAATAAGCATTTGCAGATGCAGACCACAATGTTGTTTTTAAATTAATTAGACTTGATCAAGAGAAAGGTGTGTGTGAAATCTATATGAAACTATATGAAACGCATCTATATGAAACATGCATGCACCTTTGTTAATCAATGGAATTAATTTAGTTTAAAAAGTATGAGGCTTCATTTATGAAAACAGATACGTCCAAAATAAGTAACATCTGATACTAAAATACAAGCCAATGAAGCTTCAGACCAGATACTTTTTGCATGAGAATTCAGTACTGCGTGATATAACATAATATTTCTGTCTTTGCATTTGTAAAAATGAAGGCAGTATGAACAGCAGGGGCTGCTATGGGCAAACATTTCTGTGGGTGATCTTTTACTAGACCAACTGCATGGTTGGGATAGTTGTAGACCAGCTTTTAAAGGCAGGACTTTCTTCTCCAAAGCTACAAATAAGCAGACTAGATCAAAGAATGTATGCCTTTAAGATATTTCCAGGACCATACTACTGACTAATTTGGTCTATTTTCTTGTCCAAAGGCAGAAGATACTATTAGTTGTTTAGGTATGTATATAGATCCTGTTGAAAGATGGTCTCTGGAACTAGCCCTGGAGCCTTGCAAGTTATCTACAAGGGGATTGTTTTTGTTGTTGGATTAGCTAAATGCCTAATCTTTGGTCCCTGTTTAGGGTTAGATGCAAGACAAGTGCTCTTACACTGGGTTGGAGCATTTATGAGCGCATGCAGAAGTGAAGATCCAAGTGCTGGGCAACTTAAAAGTCAAAGTGAGGTGCTTATGGAGTTGAAGGATTTCCAGGGTTGGAAGTTTTCAGGATCACTATTTTGGACTAGGATACCTAAGTCTAACACTGAATTGGGCCCTATCGTTCTAAGTTACTCTCTGCAATTTTACCTAGTACCTAATCTTTTAAGCCACAAGTACTAGGCGTGAGTTCTGGGCTGTATGATACGTCAATGCACGTGGCTCTTAGAAAGAAGTCAATAACCCTGCAAAGGAAGAGTGGACCTGCTTGTGAAATTAAACTTTTTTTTTCTGTTTTCCTTGCTTTTAGATCCCACCTTAATTATCTGTCCTTCTTTAAATGGCAGCTCTTCTTCTGCAGCATCAGGATTGGGGGACATGGTCAGTGGATCGTAGTCAAAGAGAGCAACAAATATTCGAGTAGAAATGTCCTCTGCGCAAGGATCTGTCTCTGATTCTTCATAAATATCTGGAGAAAGACGGTCCCGGCTGCCGTAACCATCTGTGGGAGTAAATTAATAGAGGAGAAACAATTCAGCACTTCAAGGGAGCGTCATTTTCCAACTTGCTCCAATTTAGGTTTCAAGGTTGTTCCTTTATCTCTGACAGATCTCTTTTAAAACTGCAATGTGTTTCCTACCAGGTGTTTTCCATAAGCGACTTGTATTTTTCTTAGCGCATTTGGCCTCATGAGGAGAGCATGCGTTCAATCTGGAAGCTTTTTTCTCCCCTGGCACCATGCTGACATTCACGTGTGTGTGTGTGTGTGTGTGTGTGTGTGAATATAGCACAGCTAAGCAAGTAGCAAGTTCTCTTCTCTTTTCTAGTGGTTGCTATCAATCAAGTAATGAAGCATGTAATGACAAGATCGTGACAATTTTGTCAGGCTGTGTCTTCACTGGAAAAATTACCATGCTTAGGACCGAACCCATTCTAATGCCGCTGCTGCTTCTCTGCACGGACACAGGGAAATGCCCAGCCATATTAAGGAACCATGTTTTAAGTACTTACCGTCCCCATTTAAAACATGGTTATTCTTCTGTCCACACAGGCAAGAAGAAACTGTGCTGGGACTCAACTGGGCCTGAAACATATTTTATCTTATTTTTCAAGTGTTCACACCTTGAATCCATCCCCGCTAGGGTTGGGACCGTGTTTGCTGTAACTTTTGTTTCAAGACGGCCGTAGTTATTAGGGCCCTCGTGCAGTTTTTCTGAACAAGCACAAACCAATTGTGTCGGAGCTCGCTGAAACCTGGTAGATACAACCGTGTTTAACCATAGTATGGATAATTTAGGATACTGATCTGAGCTCCATTTGGGTGAAAGGATCCGCTGTAGGATTCAAACCAATTAGGACCAAAACAAAGGGAAAAGGCATGCATTTGCCTTTGTTCACGGTGTGGTGAGGCATCAGAAGGACCTTCAAGTGATCTGGAAAGTGCATTTAGATCCAGCAATGCACGGAAGCATATTTCATTGTATGCTTCAGTCCCTCCCTAGGCCAAGATGCCAAAAGCAATAGCTAATGCTTTCTAGATGCTTTTAGGTTTGAGCACTTGCAGAGGACAGGAGCTCAGCACTTTCTGAACAGACAGCCCACTTTAAGCTGTGCCAAAATGGGCACCCAAAACCAAGTATCCAAAACCACTAGCCCAGCACACCTTTACTTTTAAAGCATGTGCTTAAGTCTCACTGATTTCACTGGGAGTCAATCACACATCTAGGTCCCCGCTGAATCAGTGCTTCGGCTGTATCACAGACTTGCCAGATGATTCACAATTATAAGATGGGCATTTAGGGAGAATTTTGATGAATTCAGTATTTTCATGTCCAATATATTTTCTGTTATAATAATAGCTTGCACATTTAAAGGTTACCTAATTTTATGGAAATCATTAACAAAATTATTTAATGTGAAGTTTTTTTTTTATTTTAATCTCCCCCTCCCCCTTTACCTCCTCCTAATTCAGATTCCCACCCATAGGTTAATTTTAAAAAATATTTAAGAGGGGCACAGCATCAAGGGAATGGCTACTGATACATGGGTCCAGAGCACTAGAAAGTGGGTGAACAGAGAAATGCAGAACAAATGCAGCCAGCGGGTGGTAGTGGAGGAGGGCAAGGGAGATGTCCAGCCAGGAAGCCTTGTAGCGGCACAAAGCACAGGAAGGAAATGGGACAAGGACAAACTGTGGGATAGAAAGCAATGGGACAGAAGGCAATGGGGACTATTCTCCCCCTTGGTTGCAATCAGTTTTTATTCCTGCTATCAGATGAGTTTGGAAATACAGAACAGTGGTGTGGGGCGTGATTGTTTTTATTTTTATTTTTTCCTTTTTTTTTTCCTTCTGAATATTGACAACCTTAACTTTTCTAATGAGATGAGTCAAATTCTGCCATTTAAGGCTGGCCGCCAGCTCCAGCTCAAGTCAGTGAGAGTTAATGTTAAGCATGGTATGTGTGCCGAATTCATCCTGCCTACAGGAATTCTGCAGCGATGGCATAATTCAGCGTGGGCACATGCTGGCCAGCGAGACCGCAGATCTCTTGTGACCGGCCCAACTTCAATGTATGCATATCCTGGCCAAAGATTTTATTTATGTCCATAAATATGTAAATGGGCGTAGCTCCACTGAAGTCACTGGAACGACGCTGCCTGAAGTCACTTGGTGATCTGGGTCCCTACGTTCAGAGAGGTTTGCTTTTACACTTAACACTTCATATCGATTTAAACCTTTCGTTCTCTTTAGTGTCATTCAGTGGCTGAACACAAAACTTAATGCCACTTTCCCAGCTTTATAACTGACCTAGGCCACTTTATGTGACCATTACTAAAAACTTGAACTCATTGTGCGACCAGCTATGAAAAGCTGAGTGCAGTTGATTATGCAGCGGCTTCTATGTCGATAAAGCAGCAAACAGCCAAACGCTATCAAATAGAGGGGGTGAGATGATTAGAACTTGACAGACATCAATTAGAACTAATTGAGATTATATAGAGAAGTTCGCTTAACATTTAGTTTACAAAGGGCCTGATCAAAAGTCTCATGTAGTCAATGGAAAGGCTCTGGATCAGCCCCAAGCCGAATCAATAAATCAGGAGGAACGTTTGGCAGTGCTTCTTCCCGATATGGGTAGTTTGCTGGTGACGCGCAGTCCCGTTTGCACGCTTTAGTTCTGTATTTATGAATCAAGTTGCTATGCGGTCATTTTGATCAGTGGGTGTTCAGCAGCTGTACGCATTAGGCGTTAACTGGTGTTCAACAGCCATGGGGGAGTAATGGGGTAGCTTCACAGAAGTTCATGCAATGCAGTGTGCTTTGACGTGTCTCAGTACGGAAAGCTAGCTGCACGATAGTTATCAGAGTGGACGACTAAGGGCTGTTCCTCCCTTCTGGCTAAGCTGAGCTGAACAAACTTACCTGGCAGCAGAGCCAACAGCACTTAAGAGTTAGCTTCCCTTGCATTCTGCATTGCATGCAATGTTGTCATACAGAAACGGCACTCATTAACACCCAGCTCTAAAATGCGTCTGTCATAAAGGATGAAGAAGGTTCGGCATACCGTATCTATAGTCAGAGGCCATGGTACGCTGCTGAGACCATGTCTTGTGTCCACCAATGCTGCGATAATAAGCTTCTTCTTTTACAGGTGAAATATTTCCCTCACTACCTGACCGAGACCGACCGCCTTCACTGTTACTGTCCATTGTAATTTCTATGGAGAAAAAGGGAACGATCTATTAAACATACTTTACAGTCTTCTCAGGGGAGGCTCCTGAAGGCAGCCTTTGCCTTCCTTCTCTTCAGACTCAGATATAGCCGGACGGCTAACCACCGTGTCAGCCTTGCCTACTCGATTTTAGATTTCACCCTCCAGGGATTCCTCTCCAGCAAAGGAGCACAGAAATGGGCATCTCCTTTTTACGTGCTTTGCCTCCATGCTTTAAAAATCTCTACAGGTTTCTGAGGCTAAAATCAGACTTCTGGAGGCCGAGACCAACTCTGACCTGTGGTGGTACCAGCTCTGCCACAATGGGTCCTGGTCCAGGATTGGAGCTCCCAGGATCTACCGTCATAGGAATAAAAGTATGCCCCACTTTGGGCAAGATTAAAAGCAAATAAAATGTCATTTTTCTTTGGCAAAAATGGCTTCGAAAATGGAATTAAGGTGACAGCTTGCAGGGACTTTGTTTTCAGAGAGATTTAATATGAAAAATATCTACTTAAAAGAGAGACTGAAATGAATTTAAGCTTAAGGGTATTCTGGACCAAAAAAAATAAAGTTATTTTGGAAATGTTTATCCGAAAGGATCACAAGTTTGGAGTTCTTCCCTGATAATTATACCTCCTGGACCTGCTTTAGCACTTTCATGGACTTCCTGTCAGTTTAAATCACGCAGACAAATTACCTCAATAGCTGAAAATCCCAGTTCGTGCCAGAGGGTATTAACTATGAGGCTGACTGACTTGGAGCTAATCTTCAAGAAGGAAGAGAGGAGGTAGGTAGCTGTGTTAGTCTGAAGTCAGGCCAAAGGCAGGATAAAGGTGTACCTCGTAGAGCAACTGAGTCGGAGATGCACGCACTTTTGTAAGCAACAGTTTTACTGCCTTACGGCTGGACCACTTCATCACTTCTGATGAGATGAGCTCACGAAAGCTCGTGCATCTCCAATTCAGTCTATACGATGCACCTCTACCCTGCCTTCTTCATCAGGGAAGTAAACGCTGCACAGTCAAGTCCCGCGGAAACATTTTTGAGCTAAGAATAACACGGTGACCCTTGAGGGATGTGGAATAGATCTGAAACGTCTCCAAGCAAAGAAACTGTTATTCTGCAAGGAAATCAGTACTGATCAATGCAGGAAGCCACATTCTTTGGGCCTCAAGTGGAAAAACCATCACTGAAGTCAACAGGAGATTTTTTCTCTTTAAATGCTGTAGAGTTGGCCTACCTTTATGCCATTTATTTTTCCTAGGACTGCCTTTTTGATAACAGAGCTTTATTCAGGGGACAATCCCATCCTAGGCCTCACTCAGGCCCTTCAGCAGTCGGTAGTTTTGGCTCTATCTCCTGCTTGACTGAGTGAGAGTGAGGCAAGTGATCAGGTCAGTGCCATGCTCCGAGACATGGTTTGGCTGGATTTTGGGGTTTGTTCAATTGATTTATTGACTGTTTTCTGCTCTGTACTCTTCCTGAAACAAACCTGCAGAAGGGAGGGGTGATTCTTTAGTGACCAAGGATGTCCTGGTTGTGGTTTATTATTACAACATCCACTTGGTGCAACTTGCAGCAGTTTTCAATAGCTAGCTAACTGGCTACGTTTACTGGATGCTCTGCTGAAATAAAACCAGGCTATTCAGACCCTGTAGCTACTAACCCATCGCTTCATATCGGTTCTAGTCCTGCAATCACAGTTGGAAACCTGTGCTTTTTATTTCAACATTTCAGTCTAACGTATTTCATGGTGTATAAGTTGAGTTTGGATGCCACATTTTTAACTCTTAAAATTTAACCTCAACTTATACGCCATCCCCTGCAAGCAGCACTGCCTGGACCCCCATGGGAGCTCAGACAGGTCACGGCCTGCTGGCCCCCCCCCAGCCAGCCCCGGGGGGGGATGGTGCTGCCACTGCAGACGAAAGGACTGGGCCCTCTGGCCCGGCAGCAGCTTGCCTCCCCAGCTGCAGGCAGGCGGGGAGGCTCCACCAAAAGCAGGATTGAGCCCCTTCCCACCTCTACCTCTGCCTTCAGCAGGCACCTGTGGCCAGCAGGATGCCTGGCGTTGCCCCTAGCCTCCCCCATGGCATTGCCCCTAGCCTCCCCCCCACCGCCACCTCCCCAACTCCTGCCTGACACTCTGTGCTGCCCCCTTCCCAGGCGATACCAGGCATCTTGCCGACCCCAGGCATCTGCTGAAGGCAGAAGTGGCAAGGAGCCCAATCCTGCTTTTGGCAGAGCCTCCTTGCCTGCCCTGCGGTTAGGGGCCAAGCTGCCACCAGGCTGGGTAGTCCCTGAGTTGTGGAGGGGGGTCCTTTCCTCTGCAGTGGAGGCACCCCCCAGGACCAGCCGGGCAGGCTGCCAGTGGACCATGTGCTGCCCCAGCTCCCAAGGGCCCAATTAAATTTCCCAGGAGCCCGCCAGCATGCCGCCTCTCCCGCGAGCTCGCCCAGGCATCACGCTGTGGTGGGATCGACTTATACATCGGACGTACTAAAATCCTAACTTTTTTTACAGAAATATTGGGTCGACTGCTACAACGTGTCAACCTATACACTGTAAAATACGGTAATCAAAGGAGCCAGAAATCAGCAATCCTGGACCATACCCACATCACTTGATCCTCAGGTTGAGAATGATACTGGATAGGGTCTTTCATCTCTTTCACAGAAGACCAGCATGAAGCCCTTCATTAGATGCTGAAAAAGCTGCAACTGCAGCTTGTGAGCTTGTGTGTCATCAATATTGTCATTCAATCCTAACGGAACTCCCCCAAAAGAGATTCATTGTGCCTTCTTAGTGCAAAATACACTAACACAGTCTTTAACTCGCACTAACACATGATTTTATTTTTTCTTTAATTATCTATTTAAGTGTGGCCTGATTGTAAGAAATGAATTCCATCTTATCAAGTGTCTAAGATGCCATTCTGGAGCTACTAAACAGTGCAGTCGTTATTGAAAAGTTCCCATGTTCCAGCCGTGTTTATGGAGGGAGAGCCCTGCTGCATATAATCAGTTCCTCCAATTTTGCTTGTCAAATCAGAATTAAAGGAAAATCAACAGGATTAATTTAAACTCCTCCCCAACTTATTATTGTAAAACTTACATTAACAGAACATGCAAAAGGATAGCACCCAACTCATGCCCCCTTACTGTTCAAAAATAAAACTAAAAGGGCAGGGCAGGGCAGGGCAGGGCAGGTCTAATGCACCCCAGACAATACTGAGTGTATTTATTAGCTGATAACTGGTGACAATTTGTTGTATGCAAATACAGACTCTGGGTCCAATTGTCCCCTGAACCTTTTCTTAAATGCCAGTGTAGTTACACTGACTTTAGTGATGTTACTTCTTATTTATACCAGTGTAACTTAGAGGAGACTCAGGCCCCCTAAACAGAAGTATTACAGACACTAAGAATGGTTCTATGTATTGACAGGGGGGGGTGTGTGTGTGTGTGTGTGTGCGTGCGTGCACACGCGTGAGCATGCACACACGCATGTGCATAGACACCCGTGCGTGTATTAAATCCACAGTTTCATTAATGACCCTAAAAGTACCTACTTGCCATTGGTTTGCCTCCCAAGAAAAAGATTTCCTAATTTTAGAAGTCTGTAGAGGGTGCTGTACACCATCAAAGGGTACAGATATATATTAAAAAAGGTGTATGTGGTTACAGGCCAGTTATTCTGTTGTGAATCCATGGAAGGAGGAAAAAATTAGGGGAAAATATTTCATGTTTAAAAATAAAATGAAAAACATATTATTGCTTGATAGTAAAGCAACTCTGAAGTTATTCTCTGTGTTGGAAAGTCTCATTTACAGACTAAGCTCCAAGACTAAATTGCTAAACATTATTCCTGGGTTCACTGGCTCGCTGCCTACACTGGTCATAAAGTGCCATCCAATTTAAAGATAGAGACTGTGTGAGGGGGCACGTCTACTATGTGATTTTATTTCTGCTTTTAGTCTCTTTGCACCCTTGTTCTAGTTGTTCCTTGAGTTCCAGTGTGACTGTGTACTAGCAGTCTGTGATGTGTACAGGTGTTGGTGAAAATGTTTTTGTGCACGGTATCTTCATTCCATTGTCTTGTCTGCAGTACTTTTTGGAATGGCTTGTCTTGTAGACAGCAATACATATACATACATTTTAGGTCCCAGTTGAATAATAACAGAGGCCCTGTTAGAAAAAGCAAATCTAATGGACGTACTTGAATCTCACATACGTCATTCAATTGAATAACCTCAATTTTCCCTGCAGAATTCCAAAAAGTAGTTAAGAGAATGGAAGGTGACTACAAAATGGTTGTGGATGAATGAAAAGATGGACAGATGGATGAGTGGGTGGATACATTTATCTTAGTTACCGTATTAATAGCATGTCCACGTTTTAATTTATTTTTAAGTAGGTTTTAAATTGTCGCTATTGTTGACTGAAGCTTGGGTCTTGATCCAACGCCCACTGAAGTCAATGGTAAGACCCCTATTGACAGCAGCGTAACTGAGGGGGGCAAACAGGGCGCTGGCCCCAGGCGTGGACTTAGGGTGTCAGTATGACCCCTCCCTCCAGGACCAGCCCTGCACTGCCTGGCTGTGGGAGCTGGGCACCAGTAGTGTATCTGGGATGGGATGGGAGGGTAAAGTGATCCCCCTCCACCCTGCCTTCGAGGTTTTGCCGCAGGAGGCACAGCCCTGCACCTAAAGGGAGGGGGGAGCAAATGGGGCCGCCATACTGCTGCCTGTCCCCCAGGTGCAGCAGCCCCAGCCCATGCTGCTACAGTGAGAAGAGCTAGGCTGGTAAGTCTCCCCTCCCCTCCCTGCCTCCCACTCTCCACTGGCTAGCATAATCCCCTCCTACCAAACCTCTGCCCCGGGAGCTGAAAGAGCTTGCTATGCCACTGCTAATTGGCTTCAGTAGGCTTTGGTTCAGACCCGCAAGGAATCTCCAGTCTAGTCGTATTTAGCCCGAGGCATATCTGGTTTTGATCGTGTTCCTTTCTTCCAAAGGATTGAGACTTATCGTGGTTGAAGGCAAGTGTTTGGGGTTTTGTTTTCATCTTTCTCTGTTCATTTTAAAGACCAGTTCCCCAGTGTTGCAGCTGCAAAGAACAGAAATGCACCAATTTGGCCAACTAACCAATGGAAGGGACCAACATTGGTCGAGACCTTTGTGACACTGCACTGCCATGAGATGACCTTCGCCCCGTGTGCTCCACCCTGTCAGGTCGTCCTGTGGATGATGGGTTCCCTAAAAGCTAAAAAACAAAAACAACAGGTTTGCAGGTTACACGGCTGGGAACATCACACGGTCAGGTAAGGTCAATCACAGTCGGAAGCATAAGCTCTAAAGGCAACTAAACTTAGTTTTTAACTGAAAGGTTAGCTGAAAAGTCATACACTGGTGCCTGTTAAACCTGTGAAAGAAAAATGGCTTCTTGACCCGTGGCACAAACTTTCGTAAACATCAGTCATACATTACAAAAAAAAAGAAAGAAGAAAAAGAAAAAGAATAATTTTGGTATCATTCTTTTGCCTTTGTCGTTGCGGCTAACGTGGCTCACAACACTTTGCGCTCTCCGGTCAGACCACTCGTGGAGACTGCATGGGACTGGTCAGGTCAACGCATCTGATCTTTTAGCTTGACGGTTGTGTACAGTTCGCAGCAACGGATAAGCCTGTGTCCTTCGGCCTCTGGCGTGTTTGAAAACATTGACTGCATTTCTCTAAAGGATACCTGCTGTTGAGGCTTTTTAAAAAGTCATTAGACCCTGGAGAAGTGATTGGCAGACATGTCCCATCTCACCACAACTGGCTCTTTTTTTTCCCCCCCCCAACTTTTGCTAACTTGCAGGAAATACTCCTCTCATTAATACATGCTAATATTTTAATGCTTTCTGGGGTCTCTCGTGCAACAGTTAGGGTTCAATTCAGCCTTGCCACCCATTTTAACGAGAGGATGTTAAGAACCAGTTTGGAATAAACTGCTGGAAGTGCAGCGACAACTGATGTTACTGGTACCTTAGATGTGAGACTTTCACCCTTTGGACTGCTGAAGACTCAGGGGGTAAAGAACTTGTTCGGTTTGTCTGGGAAGCAGGCAGGTCTACAGATACAAGTCCACTAAGACTCTTTTGTGGGCTCCTATACAGAAATGCAAATTGGCAGGATCACAGAGACACCTTTGTGGGATCAGATCGGGCACGGCATTGGCTTGTCCCTGTGGAAGAAGCTGTTTCCCTGCATTCCTGTTCAGAGATGCAGTCTGCAACTTCAAAGGCAAGAAGAGATGGTCTCAAAAGGAGGGAAAAGAAGTGACAGTGCAGAAAGAAGGTGGAGAATGGAAACGCGATGACTCCTGCGACTCCAAAAACCGGGGTCGCTGTCATTGGGAAGACTTTTCTTGGTACTTGCCCAGGGAAAAGAACTGAAGATAAAGAAGCAATTCCTGAACTGCTGAGAGTGAGGAGAGCGAACCCAAAATGTGACAAATGGAAATTTTGCGACATATCTTAAAAAAAATAAAAGAATAGTGGTGAAATGTGTTTACCGCAGTTAAAAATAAAACCTACTTTTATTTTTTAAAGCAATCTTCTGATGGGCATGTTAAGATAAAGACAGACAAACTTTTGGAAAATTATAATTCAGCTAACCCTTAATTAAAATTTAGATTCAGTTGTCCTTTAACAAAAGCAGCCATTATTGTAATTTGTTCTGTGGGAAAATCATTGTTGTCAAGCAAATTAAACTGATTTCAGCATAACACAAAAGAAGCCTGTGAAGCAAAATGCAGATTAATAAACCAAAATGAATGGGGAAAGAAAGGAAAGGAAAAAACCAAAAAACCCCCAGCAGATAGATCCCAAAGATGGACTCTAAGATAAAAAAGAAAGAAACAGAGAAACAAAGGAAAAAGAAAGACGAGACTGGTTTGGCAAGCAGATGGGAGAAGGAAGTTTTATTTCACACACCAGAGAGTCTTCTGCGTCTCTGTGGGATGGCTTTGCAAGTGGAACAGCTGCCCTAGATTCAGTCACTTTTAAGTTGGTCTTCCAGCCTCCCTGAATATCTTCATTAGACAAATGATCTGTTCTATCACATTTCTGAGTCTCATACTTTTTCTCATAACTGGGTTTGGCCTCCTCACTTCTAGACTCTACAGTGAAAGGACCCAAGTCGCCAAAGTCTTCTTCAATGCTGCATTGCCTGGTTAACGTTTTCCTGCGAGCGAGCAATGGCCTCGTGGTTTTTTTGCAAGAGCAGTTACTGGTGTCTGCACAACAGCTTGGTGCAACGTTGGCAGAAATCAAGTCATAAGCATTCCTGAAATTAAAACGAGACTCTTCTTCCTCACTTCCGCAGTCCAGGCCACTGTCTGGGCTTCTTGTTAAGGACCTACTATATTTGCATCCTTTTTCTTCTGAAGCCATATCCTCTATGCCTGAAATTCTGTGCTTGGCTGGATACCAGAAGCTGTGCTGTTGGTCTTGATTGTAGGCCCTAGGTGATTTAGTGTCTCTAGCTACTGTGGGTTTCGTTTTATAGGGCGCACCTAACCCCTGCTTGTGTAACAGTTCAGAATAGTCACCATCCTCTTCAGCTACTTCTGGGATACTGAAAAGCTTTTTACTGTGATGTATCTGCTGTGAAAATTTGTCAGGCTGTTCCAAAAAAGCGGCTTCAGTGGTCTTATTCTTATAGCACTCCTTAAGATTATGTGATGTTAAAAAACAGGCAGGGAACAAATAGTGTGTGATAAAAAATAAAATGGGAAGGGGGAAAAAGGGAGGAGGAAAGAAAAATAAAGACAGAATTAGTTCTAGAGCAATGGCAAAACATAAGGCATGCAGTTTACTTAGTGGGGAGGGGAGGGGGGGGATGTCATGCTCTGATAGGAATCTGTGAAAATAAAGACATGATTAAGAAGTTGCTTGGCGTCAGATATAACATGGAAGGTCAGTCCAAACACAGCTGATATAGTGATGCTCTAACAAGAATAAACCCATGCATTCAAAATAAAGCAATAAAAGCTGCATACAAGTTCAGGCATGGTGGCAGCCGAGTTAGGATATAGCGTTAGTGCTTGGGGTTCTCCCTGAGCTAGACCGAACTGGGCTTGATCTGGCGCCATTGCCCTTTATCTCCTTCACAAAACGCTTACTTGGAAAGCAACCCGCTTCTCTTTCCTCTTTGGTCCACCAAGAGCTGATCTGGTTTACCTTCCCAGACCATTACGAAGCCCCCTGTTCAGGCTGTCTCTTGGATGGGAACTATGATGAATTTTGATATTCTTTGTCTTCAGGGATCAGCAAGGTTTTAGAGGGACTTTTTGCTACTATTTAGGTTATTTTTAATGCATTTTTATATTATGTACGGGAGTCCTGGAGCCTTTATGAAAATGTGCCCTACTTATAGAAAAAAAATCAATCAATCTACAATAGGTAGCTATCTCCACATTTCAGAACTGTTCAGCTCTGATCTTCACGTTCAGATCACATGTCAGCTTTTATTTGGGAAGGATTAACAACTCCCTAGTTAAGCAACTCATATGTTGATATCCAAAGCATTCCCCTTTTGCATGGGGCCATGTATTAATTTAGCTGCCATTCAGTATTTTCTATAGCATCTTCAATCACAGTCAAAGTGCATGGGCTGGCTCATTTTGAGATGCAAATGACATATGCATTTGAAAGATTATAGCATGGAAAATTTGCTAAGTAAGTTTTTAATTAAAGCAGCTGCAATGCACAACTGAATCCAGCAAAATGGAGGGACACTGTCAAGTACTTGGGATCCAGAACCTGATCTAAAATGTATAGTAATATAAAAGCAGTGGGTAGCATCCTTTAAATTCAATATGTACATCCCGGACCCTGCTTCTGTGTGGCACTCGCATATGGATTCCACTTCTGTAGAGCCAGTCAGCTAACAAGAACAAATTGAATCACCTTGAGCTGGACCCTTAGCTTCTGTTATCAGCAGTCAATTCTTGACTTCAAACAGCTTGATGCTGCTTTGCCACCTGAGCTAATGAACTGGCCCCTTGTATTCAGTGTCAGACAGACACCACTGGTAAAACAAAGATGTAAAGATGATGCTGATTCATAACGGTTCAGAAAGGTATAGGGGTAATCCAGCATTTGCCAAGTGGAAAGGGACAGAAGGCAGCGGAATTTAATTTTCAAGTTTTTATCAGAATCTTAAACATGGAAATAAAAGGTTTCATCTAAAAATGTAATCGGCAGTCTCTTTATTGATGGCATAAAAACTGCAAGTCTTTGTATAGAAGCAGTTACAGTAAAGATTAAGACACTTCTTTGCATTCACTTTGAAAAAAGGAGACGGCATGCTCGTTATGGCGTGTGACATAATTACGATATGAAAAACTACCAGTAGGTTTCTTTATCGTTTAAATCCTAAAACTTTAAGGGGCAAAAGGGGACTAAAAAGAAAAAAAACAATTTAGCATAGTAATTGGTATATGCATAAAAGGAAGTTACAATATATGTACTCATGCATGCGAGTGCGCACACACACATGCAAACACATGTGCACGTGTGCACACACATACACACACATTCATACACACACACACACACACACACACACACACACACACAGAGACTAGAGAAAACATCAATTTTATGTTGGGAAAATTCAGCATTTGCAAAGTAAACTGTCTTTTAAGATAAATGTTCCTATGTAAGGGTTGGAGCATTGCTCCTGATATATGTTTGTTCTCTGGCTCCACCAAAACTGGAAACTCCTGATATCATGATAATGGGCTTTATCCAAACTGCACTTAATAACATTTCCCACAGTCTTTGGGCTCAGTGTCCCTAAGAAATCCCCCTGACAAAAATCAGAAAAAGATAATCCCATATGTTAAAACTCTGGCATTTTATTGCATATAAATTGCATATGTATTCATGCGTGCTGCTTACACATACACACAACCAGAAAACTTCTGATCTGAGCTGTTTCCAATATACTGTAGTACAGCATCAGAGGAAGGTTCTCAAATATGGGGCAAAACACACAAGTACATAACAACCTACAGTGTGTTTCCAAGTATGTAGGCAGGCAAGGTTCTTTGGGTAGATGTGATAGCTTTTATTAGACCAACTGAGGAGTTGGAAAAATTCTTAGCAAGTTTTCAGGCTCAGTCATCCTTTGACAGGCATAAGTAGTCTCTGTTGGTCTGAGAGTCAAATTCCTTGGAGTCTCAGACCAACAGGGACTCCCTATGCCCAATGAAGGGCGACTGAGCCCGAAAGCTAGCTAAGAACTTTTTTCCAAGTACTCAATTGATCTAATAAAAGAGATCACATCTACCCAAAGAACCTTGCCTGCCTATGTCCTTAGACCAACACGGCTACAACCAAAAGCTCAGTTTCCAAGTCTGTGAAACAGAAGGGACCTGTCAAGTGTAAGGCGGACAAGATATGATGAACAGCGTTCATCCCAGCTGCAGTACTCTGCTAGTCTGTAGGCCACTAGGCCTGCAATAGCCATACTGGATTTAAAAAACTATAATCCACTGAAGGAAGAAAAGCAAATTTGCATATTCATAGATTCATAGATGTTAGGGTCAGAAGGGACCTCAATAGATCATCGAGTCTGACTCCCTGCATAGGCAGGAAAGAGCGCTGGGTCTAGATGACCCCAGCTAGATGCATATCCAACCTCCTCTTGAAGACCCCCACGGTAGGGGAGAGCACCACCTCCCTTGGGAGCCCGTTCCAGACCTTGGCCACTCTAACTGTGAAGAAGTTCTTCCTAATGTCCAGTCTAATGTCTATTCTTCACTGGACATTAATCCCTCCTTACCTTGAGTGCATTATGGGATGTTACACTAACTCTCCGTCTTCCACCATCCTCCAGCTGCATCTCTGAGTAAAGCTCTTCCTCATCCTCCTCCATGATATCAGACAAGTCGGAGCCCCTGCTGCTTTCAGTGTGGTACTCTTCTCCATGACAGTAGTGAGGCTATTTGGCAGGATGGAAAACAAGAAAGTTCTGGGTTTTAACATCTGAAATCATTGTGCATTCATAAAAGAGAGGCAAGGCAGCTACCAGTAGCTTGAATATCATAGCAATGCTGTATGTAATCCTTACTAACTAACACGGTGTAACTTCCTGCCCCCTCCAGTAGCTAGCCCATTGTATACAGGTTTCAGAAGTCCTGGGTTCAGTCCCTGCAGGTGATCAACCAGGACTTCTGTCGTATTATACAACATCACTAGCTGCTGGGGTTCAAAACTGTTATTCTATTTTGACACCTGGCCTAAGTACAGACAGTCAAAAAATCTGAGGCCGAGTCAATTCAATCTTGGCAGGTTGGTCTAAGCTGCGTAGATTGAACCAATAAGCAAGTGAACAGACATTCACTTTTGATTCTGGAAATGAAGCCACATGCCTGCAGGGGCCCAGACCAGAAGCCGGGAGATGCTATAAGCACACTTCCCTGCTCATCTGGGGCAGACAGCTTGACTCAAGGCTAATCTGTCCACCCTGCTGAGGGGGAGGGGTTTGTGGGGAAGATGCAAAGCATCCTGGGATACTGGGGGATTGAGTTAACTTGAATCTGGAGGGGATCAGGGATTTTAACCTAAATAAGTTAAGTCTGATACTACATCCTCCAGGTTTACCTTAAACCGGTTTCAGCCATTTGGAAAGTGGTTTATGTACACTGAACTTCAGTTGTGTTACAGATTTGAACTGGTTTCCAACCACTTATACTGGTTTATGTGTAATTTCTGTCCCTAGCCCTGAAGATCAGACGGATACAATATTAGCGTCCTTCTAGAGGTCATTCCAGTATACTAAGTTCTCCTGTGTTTTCAAGTAGACAGAGATCAAGATGGAAATAAGCCATTTTAATGACCTGGTAGTGTTTCAATTTGACTGGCTTTGCTACATTCAATTGCTTTTTTCGCTAGCATGGTGATTTATAAGTCACTTTGGCCCGGATCTTCAAAGGTATTCGAATGTCTAATTTCCACTGATTTCAATGAGAGTTTGACACCCAAACAACTTTTGAGGATCTGGGCCTACCCTCTCTGAGTGCCTACATCCCCACTTATAATATGAAGTTAATGAGACCTTTCACAGTGAGACTATTTGTAGCCAGTGGATGAAAGGTGCCATATATAATGTTAATAATTATAGGATCTCACCCTCATTCCTATCTAAGGGAATAGTGTCAAATTCCCTCTGCTGCATTATGTTAGTGTCACTTTAAGACTAAATACCACTGCAAGAATTTGCCTTCTGTCAGCTTGAGGCACTTTCTTTCATTAAATATATGACGTTTTGCTCTCAGTTCTGTCTCTGCAATTCCACTGGGGGTTTGGTTCCAGTTTCAGTTCTCTCTTGCATCTAGACAACTCAAGGGACTGCTTTGATCTAGCAGAGCAGAATTTGGCCCAATGCACTGATATCTTGCAGATTACAAAGGTTGTCATCATCCAAGAAAAATGACAGAGCTTCATAGCTGAGCATCCACTAGGAACCTTTCCAATCATCTCCAATACTGATCTGATTTGGACTTAATAACGGAGGTTTCTATTAAATAAAAGCTGATTAGATAAGGCAACCTAATCGAGTGGCAGAACTTGTGAAGATGTACAATATAATTAGCTTAAGTGCACGCAAGAAATAATACATATTGTTTGTAATGTTAACTTGGTACAGAATACTCAAATATTTATGGGGCATGTAGCAAGATACTGTAGCTAAAATCATTTCATTGAACCTCATTTAACGGACTTTTAGAAGTCATTGCTGGTTTTTTTGGCTCCACTGTCCTGCAAGCACTTACTCATGTCCCACACTTCAAGCCTTGAGTAGCTCAGGTGAAGTCAATGGTGTCACTTATAGGCCGACAGAGAAGTGCAATATATTAATTGCCTGTCTGCAGGATCAGAGCCTTAAATATTTAAATGTGTTAGCTACATAAAATATATGAAATGTCACTTTATTCTCTTGCTTTGTATGTTCAGATGCATTATACCAAGTAATAAAAAAAACGAGCCTTTGTTTAAGGCTGAATAGAAGGATGCTAAAAACTTTCTGTTGTTCAGCAGTTGATCCGCAACCTTGTGATCACCGTAGGATTGAGCTAGAACGTCACTGAGCCCTTTGCTGCTCTTCAGGGGAGCAATGGGTTTAAAACCATTTCAATGCACTTGTCTGCCTGAATCCAGAGTGCCTTTAAAGCACGAGCCAGTAAACTATGCAACTGGGACCATGTGCAAAATTGAGAGCTTAATTTGTGGGTGCATTTAATGTAGCTCTAAATCATGCATTTGCCCAGGCAAGTGGCCAGCCAGGCCTCTATCAGGCACATGCTCTAAGCAGCTGTTGTACTTGTACTCCGCATGGACCCCTTATATCTGCCTTTTCATGCGTGACCTTATGGTCCTCATCTTTGGAAATCAAAGCCCTATGTGTGATACTTTCTTGCTTCCATTATTGTAAAAGCTGAGTATCCCAAATCCATTCAAGTGTTTAGACTCAGAACCCCCTGAAGAGGTAGGGAAGTGCTATTATCTCTTTTTATAGATAGGCAACTCATATACCAAGGCCCAGGCCTTCACAGGTATTTAGGCACCTGATCTCCACTGCAGTCAATAGAGTGCCTTGTCTGGGGTCATATAGGAAGTCTCTGGCAGATTAGTGATTGCATCAATTTCTAAGGAGTGGGATTCCAGTAATAAATAATGGTTGGGGGTTTTTTAACCCATACAAATTATTACAAAATATAATTTAACAGAAATATGGAATGGAGCAATTGTCTCCATTAGACATGCTGTCTAATGTCAACGGACTGCCTTCATAGACCAGCAGTCTTGTTACCTGTATATGTGGTTGTTTTAGGATGATTTGTTCATTTCTATCTCATGCAAATGGAAAACATGCTGAGTGAGATAAAGCTAAAGGCTTTTAATTGGGCATCGGTGCAGAGAATGACATGCGTCAGAAAGCCACGGGACACAGACCACAAAGCCACCTCCTAAAGTGAACAAACTATTCATTCCTTTATGAAATCAACCACCAACATGCTGAGCCTCTCAAAACTGCCTTGGACTGCAATTATGCTTCATATTGCATGTAAAAAACGATTACCAAGACTTTCCAGTTAGGTTTGGAGATAGTAGAATGGCATACAGAAATGGTAAAAACTGTTTTCTCGATAATAAATTATGCAGTGAAAATGTTCAGTTTTTGTAAATACTTTAAATGAGCAATTAAACTGCCAGTAGGTGCCTCTCAGATAGCTTGCCAATAAATATTTAATAATCTATTTGTATTTCATTAACATAGAACAGCTGCCTTGCTAACTAAAGTTCAGCTGATGTACTGATAAACTTTAAGGTGTCACTTTTTAAGAAGTGGGGGCTTTTTGGCACAGTGGATTAATGTACTGAGGGAGTACAACCTCAAGAAGAAACTAGAATTTGAACCCTAGCAAAGTGCTAAATCCCCAAAGCCATGGGCACAGCACTGCTTACAATATTCTCCACCCCACATTGACAACTGGGTCACCGGAAAGCTAGGAAATAATTATACTGGCAGGCTAGGAGGCAGGGAACAAGCCAAGGAGAGCACGGCTTAGCACTGCCCCTGCAAGGGAAGATTCCTGGGTTGTGGCCATGACCGGGACAGACACTTCCATGGCTCTGATCAGCAGAGCAACAGAGCAATCAGTAATGAGCTGAACATTATAAAACATTTCTGAAACGTTAAGGACTGTTTCAAGGTCAGGCTAGTTACCTGCTTTCCAAGCTCTGAGCCTTTAAGGAAATCGTCAACTGAAGCCCCTCTCCTTTTAATGTTAGGAGAATTGTAGCCATCTTCCTCATCATCCGAGTTTGCATAAGGTGCTGCGGTACTCCTTTCACTGAATACACTCCTCTTCTCCATCTGGTAAATCAAACACCAATATAGAATAGAGACTGGTGAAGTGGGCACTCTGCTATGAACACCCATTGATGGGTGTTCCCAGCCACCCACTGCATGAGGATGCTTAATAGCCATGGAATCGGTCCAGCCTGGCAAATGCAGGATGTTAAGGATCTGGGTTTACTGCTTCTATACTTCTTTGAAAACATGACATAAATATACTCATGTTTTAAGGCAAAATAAAAGATGCTGGTTCTCTCACTCCTAACTCTGTAGATGGTATGATTAGCTGGTGGTCCTACTAAATGGAGGCATATTTGCAGAATATAACACCACCTTTTTATTGGATGTTTAGAAGGACCGGCTATAATCCACACCTGTTTTTCATTGTTGAACTGGGTTTGGTTGATTTTTTTTTTTTTTTTTATAGCTAAGAAATTTAGGACAGGATCTCATTCTTGTAAGCCCAAGGGCCCTATCAGTCAGATAAGAGACATACGCTTGTGTTTCAACAAGCAAGCCAGGATGCTGATTTGCAGAATCAAGGCCTCTAGTCCTTGTTCTTTCTTACATCAGGGAATTTCTCTCTCACCCATTTCTCAGTCAGTTCACTCTTCAGCTCTGTTGAGTTCACCTCCTTCTCTGCAATTCCTGCTATGGGGAAGTCTCTTTGGGTAATCTTCCCCTTTCAATGACTCTCTATAGCATTTGAAATCATCTTTATAAACCTGTATCAATTTTCCTTCATCTATACCCCTCTCAATCTTATTCTCCCACTGTTCAACATTGTTTTAACAGTCTGTCTCATTTAACTGTGCAATGCACTTTTGAGTACAGAGCACCCCAAAGATGCTGCAATATCATATCATTCTATCCAATGCTCATCCAAATAAAGACACCGCTAGAGAAAATGTAAGACATGATACACCAGCACTCCCATTACATTTTTCCCAGTACAGTTTTGGTTGTAAATAAAGCACAAGACAATAGTCATGTACAAAATACATAATGGAGCACATCCATCTGCTAATGACTAAATTTAATCAAGGAATTTCAAGCAAGGATATTAATACTATGAGAAATTAATGATGTTGAGTATCAAATGGCATTTTAGAAGCTAGAGACTTTGGTAGCTTCCCCATCTTGGGGCTAGAAAATCAACAAATGGTTTTAGGAATGTCGTTATGGGGGACTACTCTTGGATCGTCTCATCCACACAGTCAGAGCAACGCAGACATTAATTTAAGGGCAAAGCAAAAGCTTCAGGGGAAACAATCTCCTTTCACTCCACGTGGCACTCTTTGCACAGGTATTTGGTCACCATATTTATTTAGACCTTTTTGGAGTAAAATATTTATGTCAGAGATATTATTGCAAAAAGGCCAATGCAGCCTAAGATCCACAACTAAGGTAGGAGCTTAATGAAGAAAATCTGCTGTCCTTTCTTCCAGGATAGTGAGCATCCACTAATGCATAACATAGCAAATATACAATGCTCTGTACCACCTATATTTTCACATCTGGATGTGACCTTGTGTGTCAGTAATGATATATCAAACCCTACATGTGTCAGCATTACACTTCCAGGCATGTAATATAGCCTCTAAGGCACTACCTTGTGCTATACTCCCTCCTCGAGGCTGCATTCAACCACATTTCTCTTGCAATTGGTCCCTCAACATAAAATAATCTGAAACAGATTTTTTATTTAGAATCAGGGCCTCTGTATCTAAAGGCTGCACAGAAAGTTCAGATCCCCCCTCTGGTGAGCTGCCGGTCCCATTGCTAGGGAGCTCCGAAACCCTAATGTCCCACAGCTCTTTGGGCCGAACTTTCCATTGACATTGTTGCTACTAATCAGGAGACTCTGTTCCCAAGCCTTGGTGCTGAAGGCATAATGCTTTGTAATCAACTATTTCACTGAAGGTAAGGCACTGAAATGGCAGAGTGTGGGAAGTTTACACAAGTGCTTAAATGAATAAATAGCAACACATATTATACAGCAAGAGCTTTGTTATCCGGCACCCATAGGGAATGGGGGGTGCCGGATAACCAAATATGCCGGTTACCTGAAAGGCCCAAACGGGTGTCTTTGCCTGTTCAGGCCACCGCCCCTCCCACTGTGTCAGTGTGCCAGGGGACAGGCTGCTTTGCCCCGGGCCGTGGGGACTCAGCGAAACCAGAAGTGCCACGATGGGCGCTTCCGGTTTTGCTTTTGCCACGTTGACTGGCATGCCAGTTAATAGAGCATGCCGGTTTGTAAGATGACGGATAATGTGGCTTTTGCTGTATATAACAAATATATATTAAGACAAAAATATTATTTCCGTTTATCATTGGTGGGGTTATTAGTCAGAGACTAAAGAAAAACACATGACAATCTCTCTGTGCTTTACAGGAAGAGTATTCCTTTGAACATGTATTTCTAGACAACTTATAAAAGGTTTAATACAAGTTGTAAGCATATTACCTACAGACGGTTATTAGGCCTGTGCAAAGCAGCTAGTATTCACTTCGGATTCAGATATGGGGGTCAGTGATTCGATTTGGTGATTTGAATCACTGTCCTGAATCGATTTGGCTGAATGTGATTCGGAGATTCGGCCGCCGCCAAATCGGCCAATTCTCTGAATCAAACAAGCCCCATCCCTGCCTGCTCTCCCTGCCCAGTCAATGGCTGCCCCATCTGGCCTTTATTTAAAAAAAAAAAAAAGCCCTGCATTCACCGGCTGCTGCCAGGCCGGGGGCGATCCCCGTTGCACCCCGCTGCCCCACACTGCATGGGGGCCTCTATGACAAGAAGCCCTGATGGAAGCCATCCAGTGAGTGCGGAGCTTTTCTTTTTTTTAAAGAACCAGGAGCTGGGGCTGGGCAGGGCAGCCATGGAGGGGTGGGGAGCCCCCTACTTAACGGCATGGAGTCCGGGTCCAGCTCCCTGTGGTGGTGAGTGGGGACTGCCCAAATCTCTGAAGCTCTCCAAATCTTTTCCAAATCAATTCAGAGAGCTTTGAATCAATTTGAACCTTTTATTGGCATCCTGATTCAACTTGGATTTGGAGATTTGGCCGCTTTATTGGGCCAAATCTCCTCTGAATTGAATCAGCACCCGAGGCTTCACACAGCCCTAATGGTTATCTTATATAGCAGAAGATGTCACAAAGGATTGAATGTTATAGTTATTAACAGCCTATTGATCTTCTGCACTCTGACGGATAACTTCATAATAAAGCATCTATTAAGCACTTATTAACTCTTCTAAGCACTAATAAAAACTTGATTCTTGATACAAAGGGGTGACCTAGTGCTTTAGGATGCTTTCTTCTCCAAAGTGATTCCTAAGGTAAGCTACACGGCTGTGAACACATAAGAAAAAGCTTGTTCTTACCCTGTTGCTCTCCGCAACTCGTTGTGCAGCTTCTCTTGCCATGGCTTTAGCAACAGTATTCGGGACAGGTGTGCCTTGTGGCTGAGGGAGTATTCGATTAGGTGAGGGAGACCTCCTTCCTTGAAGCGGGCCGTGAAAGTTGGGGGCAGGAGGCTCCAGCGTGTGTCCATGAATAGGAGATGCCGAATGAGTCTGTTCCCATGACTCATCCATTTTTAAATGCGGACCTAAATGTTCATCTTTGGTATTTGGGGCTCCGGCACTTGCTAATGGCTTAGATTTGGGAGCAGTTCTAGGGTGAGGGGTTGGAGGCACCAGTAGGTCAGGTGAAATGGCAGCAATGGAAGAGTCCGCAGATTCCCCCTGGGCAGAAAGTGTTCTTACAGTGACGTCCCGAGCGTCTAAGCTCCGTATTCTCATTAGCTCCACGGTCGTGTTCTCTGCTGCTGGAAAAATCACCTCTGCCACCTAAACGCACAAACATCCAAGTTAAAACCGGGAAAACACATCTCCTCCCGCCGTGCAGCTTGGAAAGCATTCATAAATGCTGGCAAATTGTTGCCGGTTGTAAAGTGTAAGCACAGCGGGTCTTCATCGATTTACCCCAATCACCTGTAATACTTCAGCTAGGCTTATCTGAGTAATTAAGTGTTGCTGATTAGCTTATAAAGAGGGACTTCACAGCTATCAATGCACAGGACCATCAGCAACATGACAAACCAGCTGAAATGAAATCCAGAAAAAACTAGGTGAACACTGAAGTCCATTATATTCTTCTGCTCTTGGCTGAACTGCACATCTAGAGCCACCGGTCACTGTAATAAAGTCATGACAACTCACCCGTTGACCTTTTGCATATACACCATAGCCAGTAACATTTGCTCCATTGGAGGTTCCTGTTGATGTCAAAGTTGGTGGTTTCCAGGAGACCTGTATAGTTGCGGGGGTGGGACCTGCCTGTACAGTAACATCTTGAGGTGGAGCTGGAGGACCTAGAGAACAAAAGTTTTGTTCATCGTCCAGTTCCTTTGGTTTCAATCTTTAAACTAGAGACCAGTTCAGTTCCTGTCATGATGCCCCAAACCCGGGACTCTTATAGCAGCCTGTGTAGATATGAGGGAGGGACCAGACCTATCTAGCTGTAGAGAACAGAGCTGACTGCCGTCTCATCCTGAGCTATAAGAAAGGTAGCGTCCAGATACAAACCTTGCACGTGAGCCCAATTAGCCAGACATATATTTTGGTTTTGTTCCCTTTAACAATTATCAGGAAATTTATGGAGCAATTCTAGTACTTTAAAGTTGAACCCATGGGTCTCAAAGCACTTTAAAAAAGGAGGGCAAAATACCAGTAGGCCCATTTTACAGAAGGGGAAACTGCAGTCCCTCCAGATGATGCAACTGGAACAACATCACACAGCAGGTTGCGCGGGGTCTCTTGTTCCATCCACAATACTACGCTCCCTTTCCCTTCTGAATACGGCCCTTCGGCTATACTCATCAGAAAGCTGAGCACGAGGTGGTCTTTTCAAATGCTGTACTTACCTCCCTTCCACCTGTTCTCGTGCAAGTGATTAGATTCCCCTGAGCGCATTAAAATAAAATAGGAACGAACTGTCAAGGAGAAGCACTCGTGTGTACAGAAAATGATTATGACTGATTACAGATCACCCAGGCTGCGCCTCTGAGACACAGATCTGTGCAGTGTTGCAGGCTGGTATTTCCTTTGGAAATTTCAAAGCGGCATCAGTCTAAGGAGCAACCGGCAGCAAAGGAGGAGAAGAGGGAGGGGAAAAATGAGCCAAGCTCCCCAAGGAGAGGAATTTTACTTACATTATCACAATTAAAAAGCCACTCCTGTGCCCCAAAGCAAGGGGGCTGAAACAGCTGTTCCCTACCACATAGCAAGCGGTAAGAAAGGGCTGTAGTGTAGGAAAAGCAAGAGACCGTGTTAATCTAGTTGCTGCAGGGAACTCTGATGGCCACATGCAGTTTCAGTCCTGTACCTGCAGGAACAAGTGCATTTAAGTGCAACGGTTTAAGTTCTGTCATTGTATTATGCAGAGGATAGCTTTCAATGTGCTCTGATTTCTTTGACCCAACTTTAATTTTATTTATAGAGAAAACAACCCCAGTGGCCAGGGTGGGTGTCCCAAAGAAAGCTGGTGACAAGACAGACACAGAACACAGTGAAAACCTAGGTTTACAAGGCATAGCAAAGCCCACGCTTGGGGAAATACTATAGTGCTCCCTGTGGAGCAACCGCAAGAAATGGATGAGGATGAATGGATCAGATTGAATTCTGCTTCTCACCCTCCCATGAGGGCAAGGGGATATTACTGTTATCGGTGCTGATGGAGGGTGCAACTGGGAAAGACACGTCCTCTCTCAACCATTTTGCTAAAGGGAGCTATACCTCAACATGTGGGTGTAAGAGCCACTCCTGAGCAATCCTGACTTCTGCAACTCCCTGCCTTGAAGCTTGACTCTAGGGATTAGATTCTCATCCGCAGTCAGGTCCCTTTGTAAAGGGGCCAGAGAAGACAGCTTGAATTTACTCCCATTTATACCACCAGTGCTTTATCGTCAAAAAAGGATGGGCCTCGAAGGCTCTACTCTGCTCTGCAAAAAGGAACATGAAACCTAAAGCTTTTTGAAACCCTTTAAGGCAGTTACAGTACATTAGCGCAATAGCACGTTCAGTACATCTCTAATTAAAGCACAGTATTAAATCTACCATAAATAGCCCCATGGTTGGACAGAAACCCAAAGTCAAAGTATCTCGATGATTATGAGTTTGTGCATATTTCTTGTACTCCGCTGTGTTAATTTAATGTCCAATTCAGAGAAGTTTATCATGCTAAGAAGCTGCTAAAGCAGGGGTCAGGCATGGCTACCTCCTCTCTGCAACTACTAGGAGTGCACAGAGTTTAGCAGGTGCAGGTGTTTTCGGGTTTTGCCAGTGAAATGCACTCAGCCAATTTCTATTCATCTTTCAAGGCTGGCAACAACCAGCAAACACTCGAGCCATGTGCATTCATTTTTAGCGAAAGAAAAATGCTACAGATGTATGTGAGGAACAAGCCTCGGCCCTGAGATATCGGCAAGATGCCAGTATAGCCTCCGATGTCACTGTTTCATCCTGTAGAGGGCATTGCAACACAAAATCTAGTCTTTTTTATACAGTTTAGGCAATAACTTATAAGCAGAAGGCTGCTTGCTTAGGTAAGATCAGACAAGACTCAAGAACACTCTTCCTCCCCCACCATAAAAATAAATGTGATATGACCCGTAGTGTTATTTCATTAGCAGGTGCAAAGCAAGTGAAAGAACAACAACCGGCCTTTATTTGTCAAAGGCTAATGAACACGTGGTGATACTGAAAGTGTTATCAATTAAGAGTATTTAATCACCTCACTGTCCCTCTCAGAAATGAAATTAAAATGACACGTTAGGGCCCGATTGCCAGAAATGCTGTGTACTCAGAGCTCCCAATGACATCAACAAAGAATACGAGGCTGCCGAAATACTAGGCACCGTCATTTTGTGTAAGGAACGCTACCCATTGAACAGATGTATTGGGGTGATGAATCAAATCAGTCTATTACTAGTGTCGGACACCTGGTGAATGGGCAGATTTTTTAAGACTGAAGGGATTGTGGAGTAGATAATAAATAATGAGACCAGACTAATGTAGGTTGCAAGGTCCTGATTCAACAAAGTGTTTAAAAACTGGTCTAATATAATCATGATCAGTAGTCTCAAGGACATCGATGGGATTACTCATGTGGTTCAAATGGTAGATATGTACCTAAACAACTTTGCTGAATCAGGCCCTGGGTTCTTTCCCTCATTTATAAGTGTTGCACGCTTTTTTGCAGTGGTTCTTTCTTTTTATTCCAATTACAGTTTCTGCTACACAGTTTAGCTTCTTGATAAAAACTGAAAAACCAAACTCAAGAGACGTTCAAGGTCTCTGGAAAGAGAGATGGTGACAAGTAAAGAGAACAAAATGGCCTTGATCTCACAGAGGCTATTTTTTCCCCTCCATCTACGCAGTAAGTGGTTGGTTATGGCTGCATCACCCATATACACCCAGTTTATTTTGGTTTATATAAAACAGTACAAGTCCTCACTGTCTACGTGAAGGTTTAACCCTTTTTAAAATCAAGCTAAGCTCTTGGCCCCTTTGGGCACTTTTACGCTTGCTCTGGGGTTGTGTGTGTGTTGGGGGGGGGGTGGCACTTTAATTACAGCAGCTCTTCGTCTCGTGTATCAGCATCCCCATGCTTAAAAACAGTGGTGGCGGTGCTTGAACTAAAGGTCACTCAACTAGCTTTAATTCAAGTACCCCCGCCACCATTTTGAAGTGTAGGGACGCTGAGAGCCAAGACGCAGGAGGCTGCTGGAGCGCATCAGAGCAGGCTCCGCGGTCGAGTATCGGCGCCCTTTGTTCTCTTGTGGCGGAGAGTTACATGGGCTGACATCAGGCTCAGCTTAAAAACATAATAAAAATACAACGCGCCCATTCATTTCATCAATTAACTTGAAAACTAGCTCCTTTCTTGCTATTTCTTGTAATCCACAAATACCTTCTCCGTGCCAAAGCACTGCTTTCCACAGGTCTAACATGCCCTCTCCTGGTCCCAAACCTTTTCACCTCTTCTCATATGGAAGTCTTTCCAGACCTTCTTTGGTCTACCTTTGAACAGGCTTTGATTTCTGCTATCTCCTGCAGAAATATTATGGATACGTCTTTGGGTTCCTCCCTCCATTCTCCGGACCCTTCCAGTCCGCTTCAGAACTTGACATTTCCTTACTATTTAAATGCCAGCTTTAGCCAGTGATTGAATTACCCAATAACGTGCTAAAAGTGAAGGAAATTAATAGGAATAGAGAGTGAAAGATTGTGTTGCATTTTTTAAACCAATCTTGAGGATTTAATTAAATTAAATGGAGAATCAAAGTATGATTACATTAAACAATAACCGAATTAAGCGCAAGGCAACATGTGGAACTTCTGCCTATCTGGGAGTCTGTCACCCAAGCTTATTTAAGTACTGGCCCAATATAAGCAACTGTTAATTAAGCTAAGCCAGGTCACAGTGCTGTTAAAGTACATGGATTGCATGGTAATATCTTGGGAAGCTGTTTTTTTGGATTTTAAAATGGTACATAATTTCGTGTGAATGACTGATTACTCTAATAACAAATTCATTACTAAAATTGAGAGAGATTGTTCACAGGGGACATGTGCTACTGAGCCGTTCCGTTATTAGCAGTAAAAAGCACAGGAAGAATTCATTTTCAGGGACAATGATGGGCTTTCTCAGTATCTTTTTATTTATTTTATTTTAATATCAATACTTTCAAATAATTCAATTTACTAGAGAAAACCACTGGGGAATGAGAAAGGACGAAACACTGGAATAATTTAAAAAGACATAAGCGATGCACAAACATTCGGGGAAAGGAGCGTTTGGATGAGGCGAAAATACTCTAACAAAGCAGATACTGCTCCTGTTCGCTTTATATTAGGCAGCTATTGAAAATCACAGCTTTTCTCTTTATCATGCTGATATGTAATGTACTTTGATTTTAAGGATTTAAATTAACACAGATCTACTGCTTTTGTCACTTGACTTATGTGATTTCTGTGGAATGATGTTGATTTATACCAGCTGTGATGGTGGGCCTAAATATGTATCTGAAATTTAGGTTTTCATTTGAGTTTCCTATCTTTTTGTAGTGTCAGCTGTCCCAGTCCAGCAATATAAGTCAGTATATAGGAAATACCACATCTGATCAGAAGAATGGTTCATAAAATCCAGTACCCTGTCTCTAACAGTATCTAGTACTAAATGCTCCAAGAGAAATGGGCACCCTCCAGCCCCACAGTAGGCAGTATTGAATTATTTTCTCCTTTCACCATGCAAGTTCCTTTCTAGTATATAAGTTAAGAATTGGTTTAATTTCTAAAGCACAAGATTGCA